TTGTCCTTGCATGTGAGTCATTTTATAGAGAAAAGATTCAAACTGACCAAGAACAATTCTCTTAGATTTCTGAGGTAATATGTTAGAACACTTGTTGCTACTTTAATCGGCACAGTAAATCTTATGCAAAAGGAAAATTTCTATATTGAAATACTCGTTCTTACGAATCACCAAATATTTTAAAGATAACATTATTATTTAATAATAATAATAATAGCATTATTATTTAATAACTTTTACACTAGGGAAAGTTCTAAAATTTGATTGTCACCTGAACACATCTATTACTTTTCATTAGGTTCTGATTTTAAAAGCAAATTTAAATACCCTGAGATGTAACACCTTCATATGCTTATTGTTGTATCTATCACTTCATGTTAAAAACTATTAATCACTTCAACAATTTCAGAAGTGCAAACAGATGCATTAGTTTTAACGCAGAGTGCAGAACTGCATACATCAGCAGACAACATGTCAGCGCTGGTGGTTCATCTTCCAATGTAATTCATGAACTACATACTGCAAGTGTTTCCTCTCCTAACACCTCTGAATCACTCACTACATGCTGTGTGCATATCAGAATTTGCCTTTTGCACAATGTCACACAATTACAGCAAAATTATTTTCCTCTTTTTTGGCTTGTCTATATTGCAACATTTTCATATCAGTTTTTGATTCCTGGAAGCGAATTAAAAATAACACAAAGCAAGCACTAAATATCTGCAGCTTTACCATGTCAGAAGCTCTAATTAAATAAATCCTTTTGCTGAATTACCCTCATTATTTTAAAATAGAGCCTGTGCCCATAAAGGCCACTTCTGTTTCTCATTAACCAGTACTGCATGGACAATGGGAACTAAGCGGAACCTTGTATTCAAAATGTAGCCATCAGTAAATTTGCCATGCTTTTTAATTACAGTAATCTGATTTTTCAAATGTATATCCTCTATAATTAAGGCTGAATATTCTTAGTAATATTTCATAGAAGTTAATTGTAGGAAACTTTGTTCCTCTTAATGTTTTCACATAATATAATTTTATTCAACCATCATGCACCTCTACCCATAAAATAATTCTATCATACATTATTTTATGATTTTATGATTCCATAAATCATCTAGTTTTAAAAACTTTGAAGGATTTGTTATATGCACCATTTTAATAACACATAGAAAAATACAATAAACAAGGGGCAGGACTGTGGTGTAACAGTTTAAGCTGCCATTGGAAGCACCAGTATCTCATATGTGTATCTTAGAATTTGTCATTTTTAAAAGTAATGTGAAGGAATTTGCAATGCAACCATCGCCATATCAGGGTAGGTGTATCTAAACTGAGCAGCAGGCACTATTAAAAACATTAATGATTGGGGCCTGTGTTGTGACTCTGCAAGTTAAGCATCCCATAAGGGTGCTGGTTCAAAAACCAGCTGCTCCACTTCTGATCCATCTCCCTGCTAATGTGCCTGGGAAAACAGAGGAAGATGGCCCAAGTGCTTGGGCTCCTGCACACACATGGGAGACACAGAAGAAGCTCCTGGTTCCTGTCTTCTGTCTAGGCAGGGTGTTGCAACTATTTGGCAAGTAAATCAGTGGATGGAAAATCTGTCTCTCTGTCTCTCTCACTCTCTCTCTTTCTCTATCTCTCCCTCCCTCTCTTTAAGTCTGCCTTTCAAATAAATAAATAAATCTTTTTAAAATATACAATAGGGGGTAGGCGCCATGGCTCACATGGCTGATCCTCCACCTGCATCTCCAGTACCCCAGGTTCTAGTCCCAGTTGGGGCATTGGGTACTAGTCCCAGTTGCTCCTCTTCCAGTCCAGCTCTCTGCTGTGGCCTGGGAGGGCAGCAGAGGATGGCCCAAGTACTTGGGTCCGTGTACCTACATGGGAGACCAGGAGGAAGCACCTGGCTCCTGGTTCACATTGGCGCAGCACCGACAGTAGTGGCCATCTGGGGAATGAACCAATGGAAGGAAGACTTTTCTCTCTGTCTCTCTCTCTCTCTAACTCTGTCAAATAAATTAAATAAATAAATAAAATATACAATAAATAATTTATGCACTGACATCTCATGTATTGTACAAAATTATCAATAAAGCTATTGAACATAATGCCATTAATTCAGCAACATTCACTGATCCAGAAAATTCTGTCCTAAATAGGAGAGCTATGGACGCAAGTACAGTATCACACCTGCCCTCTGTGAGCACACAGGACAGAGAAGTGAATGGAAAAATCAAAGGCAATGCATTAGATCTTGTGAGAGAAAAATATAGGGGAGGTTTGAGGAGTACACAGCAGAGATTCCTCAGTCAAAGAGGAAGAGGAACTAACAGGATACCTGATTAGAGTTTCCAATTGAGTATTTTCCAGGAAATTGCTATCCTTCAGGTCTAGGGTTCCTGAAGCAAGAATGAATGAATGAATACATAAATAAATAAAATTTTTAAAAAGGTGAGTTGTTAGAGACAGAAGTGGAAAACATGGGGAACAGACTGTTCCAAGACCAGAGACCAAGAGGGTCATGTATGTGTAGGTGAACTACAGAAAGTGGGTTAAGAAAAAGGTAGATGATAGAAGAACCTCATTTACCCATGTATACACTCACTCATCCCATCAGGCTCTGGGGATTCAAAAATCCATGCCATTATAAAATATCCATTTTAACTCATGGAATATACACAGAACAAAATGAACAAATGAAATATTCAGATTATATAGAGACACCAGTCTTATGAGGAGGTTACAATTTTAAGTAGGATGTTTAATATGATTGAGTAAAGATCTACAAAGTGTGCCTTATCTCATGGAAAGAATTCCAGATAGAGGGAAAAAGGAGGTACATGTGGCTGAAAAGAATGGATAGTGAGTGAGTAGTTGGAGGTGAGCTTAGAAGGAAAATGGGTTCTAAAAAGCTATGGTAAGCATTTTGGCGTGGAAGCAGAGCCACATCTAAATGGGAACTGTATTTTACAGGATTAGTCACTCCTCTGTTGGAAATAAACTGAAAGGAAGCAGAGGCATAAGTGGCAGCATTAATTCGGTGAAACAGGTTGACTTGCTCCACCGAGAATGCACTGAGAGGGGATTGTGTATAGATTTACCTCGAAGGCAGAAATGACAGGATTTTCAAAGAGTTCGTATACAACGTAGACAAAGAGAAGTTAAGAAAGATTCCAAAACACTCAGCCCCCAGAGCAGATGTCAGCATGGAGTTATTCTCAGGGGAAATATGGAAAGTTAGCAGTAGGTGAGGGTTTGAAGAAAGCACAAAGCTGTCACTCATTGAGATTTGGAAGAGCACAGGAGCAATGCCCACAGGATTTCCAAGCAGAGAGACAGAATGTGCAGTCAGAACGTTGGATAAAGGGGAGGCATTGGTTTCTTGTGGCCATGGAGTTAAACAGGAATGGGAGGGGTAGCTCTAAAGGTGTCAAAAAAGATTCTCATGAGAAAAACTGCCGCTTCATCATATTTAAGATGGGAATGAAAAAGTTTCATATATACTGAAGAAAATAGCATACATAAAGCAACTAATCTAATGTCATAAAGTAATAGGAACTCCAAAATAAACAATCTTTTCGCAGACTAAAAATTTCTAAGGGATACTGAATGTTCTAATGTATCTCTGTATCTTCACTTAGAGCAATGTGACCAATACAGGATAAGTATTCAATAGAAACATAATGAAATATCCATAATTATACCACATTAAATAAATTATTTTATAAAAAATTATCACACATATCATTACATGATAAAACATATTCATCTTTATCCTAGCCCCAAACCTTGGATAGATATAGAATCATTTTCACTATCTAAATCAGCTGAATAGGAGCCAATGCATTTAAAAGGAAATTATTAGCTCACTTTCTCATTCATTGCGATCTTTTTTATTTTTAATTTTCTTAGGGAAAATTTCCATACTAGGAAATAATTGTACAGAAGTTAGTCATCAAATGTAATTTTCCTGTTTTAATAATTATTGTACATTTAGTACGCTGGACAAGAAGTCCAGGATGGTGATAAGATTAAAATTATGCATGCCATTACATACCCAGTCTCCTTACCTACAACTTCTAACAAAGGACACATTTAAAAAGGAAAGACCATAAATGAATAAAGTACAATTTAATAAAACTATATAATTTTACATGAAAACTGAAATAAAATATATTTTTAAAAAATCAATGTCATTCAACTCAAATAAGATCAAAAACTGCACAGGCTGGATCTGAGACTTGAAATTAGAGTCCTGCATCCCAACATCTACAGGGATGCTTCCTCTTGTAACCACTATAGCTACTGAAAAGTCTGAAAAAGTGTCACACGGTAAAGTCAACCTTTGGGACAAGACATCTGATTCAGATCTTTAAAGGGACTGACCCAGGGCTGGCGCTGTGGCAGAGCAGGTAAAGCCGCCACCTGCAGTGCCAGCACCCCATATGAAAGCCAGAGTGAGTCCTGGCTGCTCTACTTCCAATCCAGCTCTCTGCTGTGGCCTGGGAAAGCAGTGGCAGATGGCCCAAGTCCTGGGCCCCTTGCACCTGTGCGGGAGACCCGGAAGAAGCTCTTGGCTCCTAGCTTTAGATCAGCTCAGCTCTGGCCATTGCGTCCAACTGGGGAGTGAACCAGCGGATGGAAGACCTCTCTCTCTTTCTCTCTCTGCCTCTCCTTCTCTATGTAACTCCGACTTTCAAATAAAATAAATAGATCTTTAAAAAAAAATTAAAAAATAAAGGGACTGACCCATTTTAAACAACAGTTACTTAGAGCACTTTAACTGGCAAGGAAATTTTTATGGGTTAGTGTCCAGTGATACCATGAGATGAATATACAAACAATCAGATGTTTGCAAATAATCCACAAGTCTTACATTCACAGCCTGAAAGTCAGAACAGTTTTTGTCAAACACCGAACACTATAACATCCTTTAAAACATAACACAGTTAAAAACTACCAAAATGCATTACTGAAGTTCAAAGATGTCTTACCATTCATTTCCTTGTGAAGGGTTTTCTAGTAGTACTCGAATTATGTACAATAAGCAGCTTAATAATTTGAGAGAAAAATTGAATAGGCGTATCCTTAGACCTTTAAACAAACAACAGTTTGATTTTTTAATTAGTTCACAAGAGACTAAAAAGAATTATATAAGATATCATCTTTAAGTATAGCATTTAAATTGTATTTAGAAACTGCAATACTATAATTGTCCATACTCTCTGAAGTTCTTCATAGCTGAATTTTAATTACTTGAATATTAAAACAGAAAGTGAGCTTGACACAATGCATGAAATGCAAATGACAGTAAATGTTGTACACTGAGAGTAAATCTAAGTTTTAACATTCAGAAGTCACAAGATTTATGTCCTTTCAAAGTTGGTTATAAGTAGCTTGTAAGTTTATGTGGTTTATACATCCATGAATTCCGGGATAAAGTTTGGCTCTCTAGAAAACTTAGATTCTTACAAATGTACCTGATGAGTTTTAAATCTTGTACCTTCAGAAACCTTATAGATTTTATTACAGAGAAATTATAATCATCCTTATATTGTTTTAAGTACAATTATGCTATATATTTAATATCAATTACATAACTTTATAGTGGTACTAATTATATAATTATAAATTAATTACATAATTATATACTAATTATACAATTATCTATAGAGAGAAATCACAATAGCACATGCTGGGAAACATTCACATATCTCTCACACACATGCATGTACTCACACACACGTACAAACAGATTTACAATCGTATCAGTTTAACTTTATTTTTAACTTCAATGAAATCTTAAAAAAATGTTGTGGAATTAGGCCTACAATGTATATGTCTTTTAACCTATGTAGGTCACAGTTACGTAGCCTCTAATGTTTAAGAATAACAAAGATTAAATTAAGATTATGCAAAACATACTTAAAATCTGCTTAAGAAGCTTTACCTCCCTGCAATTATTTGTGGTATCTGATTTATGCATTATGAATAAAACTTTGACAAAGGCCTTCTTATAATTAATTATTTATAATATTTCTTAATAGTAAAAAGGTGAATTCTAATTAATTATGTAATTTTTCCTAGTTTTTCCTTCTAAAATTCTGAGTAAAATTTACCATTTACCTTCCTTAATAAAGTCCTCTAAATTGATAATGAAATTGCCTTTCTATAGAAATAGGTCCTGTCAAAGCTGACTGCTGGTGAGGCATTCAAACAATCACCCTTCTTCCCTGACCTGAAGAGATAGGATTGTTAATACTGAAATCAAGGAAACCTATTCACATGATGTGACCCTTTTAGATAATATCTACTGACAGGGCTTCCTGGAAACCCTAAACCAGCAGCTTCAAAAGCCAGGCTTTAACCATAAAGCCAGGCTGTCATTCAGACTCCAGACCAGTGTGCCTTAAATACTGAAATATTCCCTATATCCAGCATCTGGATAACTTCACACAACTCACAGTTCTCTCTTTGAATTGTACCTAAAGATGCACAGCTTCAAGGACCCTCAAAGGATTCAGGGGTAACTTATAGTCTATGCAAATCTAATGCAGATTTCTGCATTTCAAGTTGACATTTTAAGCAGTAATCCTGTGGGTGGGGGGGAACCTGCACATCGACTTATTATACAGGAGTAGTAAGATTATGTGGTATTTGTGGTAGGAAACAAGTACCACTACAACTTCAACTTTGAACAGACTCAGGATGGCCATGACTATGCCAATTTCATTATCCTCCTGAAGTTCAATGGTTCCCAGACCCTCCTAGATATTCCTTATTATTAGGTAAGTTCCAGGAAAAGGTGAACTCTCCTCTCACTAAATCATACACATATTCCCCCGTTGTGGTCCACTAATAATCAGAACCTTCTCAAATGATGATATTTCAGATTTCTTTCACATTTGATGTGGAGACCCCTCATTTACATTATTTTCTACAATGTTTCTAACTAACACAAATAGTTCCACCCAGAAGACTGAATTGTGATTTCTAAAATTAAAAGTGTTTAAGAGGCCTTTAACAATACTAGTTGGAACAGCTACAGATTTCTTCCTGGGCAGGCAAGATTACCAATTTTACCATTCACTATAAAAAGTGTTTTGCAAAAGATTGGATTTTGGAATTTTTTAAGGTGTTATGTGCACAAACATGCAGAGGGGTTAATTAAATGAATGACTTACTTGATCTCTGGTTTTTAATGAAAAACAACTTTAGTCTCTCTTTAAATGTGTTTTCATTCATATAGAATTCAACTTGTACCCTGCAAACAGAAAATAAGAATATAAATTTATACAATTTTCAATCATATATTATAAAAATCAGTAACTATTGAAACCAATTTCATAATTGTGTAAATAATAAATATTACTATGTAAGAAAATAAAAATAAATCATTTGATTTATGGACTTTAAAGGAACCCCATGCCACAGAAAGGAGAACTGAGTAAAAGCAATACTGATTTTTGGAAAGAAGCCACTACTTTCTAATTTTAAAGATATATAAAGTCTAAAAATCATGTTACCAATTCAGTTATTTCTGTTAAGGAACGTAACTAGTGTTATGGATAATTCAAAAGAGTAATAATGAAAAGTCTTTAATATGTGTCTTTGGGTTGACTGTTTAATCTTTGTTTTGTCCAGGTTTTTCCCGATTTATGACTCAATCACATGTTGCAAAATTTACTTTGTGTAATAGTATCACAAATTCAATGAATGAGAATCTAAAGATCAGGGCCTGAAATTCTATTTTCAACAAACCCTCCACCTAGACTACTGCCTATCCGGACACTGTACTATTTAGCATTTTCCATTCTTCTAAATTTACTAAGATACTAAAATACATGCGTCAGCAATGGAGTGGTCACAGCAAGTGAAAGAAATGTTAAAGTTACCATAAGTAAATCATAACGCAGACAATTCAGTGGGCTGAATAATGCATAATTAATCTACTACAAAATAATATCAACAGTCTAAAAAAAGTATTGCTCTAATAAATGCATTTGCTTTTTCTCTACATTCTATCAGATTGTCTTTCATGGGATAAGGTATAATTAATATTTCAAAATACCAAATAAGAAGAAAAGTTCTGTTCAGTGCATGGTAATTTGTTAATCATCAATTTTTAAATTAGTATCAAATACATTTATTATCAGTAAGGACTCAAATACAGCTAAGAAAGTGCTTTAACGTTTGCACAAACAATGAATTTTAGTACCATTTTTCCTAATATCACATTTTGAAGATATAATCTGTATAAACCAGACAGGTTTTTAGATTTTAAAAAAAAAGTATTTGTCTCTCACTGTCCACTCTGCCTGTCAAAAAAAAAAAAAAGTGTTTGCTCTTGGCAAAAACAACTATAAGACATAAATGAGAGAAAACCTGGAGAAAAGATAACTGTTACATAAAAATGCTCATGTATTAAAGAAATAATTCACTACTGAATTATTATTGCATCCCTCTACTGTCTATATTTAAGAAGACTCATACCTAGTTAAAAAATAGTATCTAGTGTCACAAAAGCAACAGAACAATTCTTATTCATCACAAACCAAATGAGATGTGTTATGCCTCCTAAAAATACTAAAATGCTCTCCAATTGCAATCTCTTCTCTATAATTCCTATCTACAACTTTTAATTCTTTTTCATTACTTTCCCATTTACTCTTTTTTTCTTCACTTTGTATATAAAATGGAAAAAGAAAACAAAAACAGAAACTAAATTTTCTTAACTTGATTATTTTTCCAGTGTAGTCATAAAAATTGCAGTAATATCTTCTGTTAGATCACTTACACATCCACGCTCACACTCATAAAACTGTTCACACACACACACACACACACACAAAGTCCGTGCACAGACTTACAGCCAGAAAACTCCATTAGTATCTTAGAAATCCATCATTGGATCTGTTTCCCTGGTTATCAAATGAAAAGTCAGTTCATTAAAAACAAACTAACTACAATACTGATATCAAGCTAAATTAGTTAAAATTTGTTATGGATACAAAAGCAAATTTGAGAGGACATATGGCTATTACACAAGTAATTCCACAAAGGCCATGCAGATTTGCTTCCCAAAATTATCAAATTTATAATAGGAGCCTATTCCTTGGATAATATCTGGAGTTACATTGGATACATAACAGAGGAGAAATTTTGTTTTTAACTAAGATGAGATCATCTAAAGCCTTGACCAAAATAATGTAGGATCTGGAAAATATATCCCACAAAAAGTGGAAAGAACAGAAAAGTTGAATAAATATTAATAGTTAGGAGTCTTTAAGTACTGAAAAGGTCAACATTATTAAAATGAGATTCATACTGCAATAGAGAAAAGAAAGAACTGCTCAACTTTGAAGTGTATATCACTGTGAAGTGAAAGCTCCCCAATACATATAAATGTGCCAAAGACTGGACAATAGCTTGCAAGACACTGATTCATTCTGAGAATAAAGAGATTACTGAACATGGTATAGTGAATCAAGATGCTGTTTGCAACACTGACATCCTGTATCAGCTCCAGCTGGAGTCCAGGCTGCTCTGCTTCCAATCTAGCTTCCTGCTGGTGTGCTTGGAAGGGCAACAAAGGATGATCCAAATGCTTGGGACCTTGCCAATCATGGAGGAGATCAAGATGGAGTTCACGGCTCCTGGCTTCAGCCTGGCCCAGCCCTGGGCGTTGCCAAACATCTGGGGAGTCACCATGTACACTGAGGTTCTTGTTAAAATGCATCTTTTTTCTTCACCCTTAAAATCCTTATTAAAGTTGGCCTCATCATTTTCAAAACACTCAAAAACATAATTGTAATCCAGGTTGTCAATGAACGAATTCCCTCAGAAACACTACTTCATTTTTTCAAGTGCTAAAGTCCTGAAATTTTTCTTGGGATGCCAAATTTCTCTAGATATTCTTTTGGGTCTTACAGTAGACATGCATCACCATCAAAGGAAGATTCTTCCTTTGCATCTTCCTGGTACTTCTTGACCCAAGTACTTTCTCCCTCCCTCTGGTTCAGCAGTATTGCTCATGGAGCTCAAGCTTAAGATTTTCATCACTGTGCTTATCTCAAACAAGGCCCTGAGACTTCCAGTCTCAGCAGACAGGATCAACAGAAACAACTTAGTGTCTCTATCTTTGTTGGTGATTTTCCTTTAGAAATCTAAATTTACGTGGTAAGTTAATAAACATATCTTCATTACAAACTCCTGATTCTAAGAATTTTTTTCTTCTGGAGTCATTTATGTGCACTCTTAAGTGGCAAATCACCAATTCCATGCTTGGTGCTCTGACTCCAAAGAGTAAAAAATTTATATATAAAGTCCCTTCATATACCATGGTCAAGGCTCTCTCAGTTGTTTTAACCACTAGCAAACCCTAAACTGAGCTTACAGTTAGAAAAATCACAACTCTCAAATGCAGATATTAAGCTTACCTCTAATTTGTCTGAAGTTATTTTTATGTGTTGAATAATGTTTCCCTAAAAATATATGTTGAAATTCAGTTTCCCAGGACCTCAGCATAGGTCCTTAATGAGGAATGGACTCATTGCATATACAATTAGTTAAATTAAGATGGCATCACACTGGAGTAGGATGGAGCCTTAATCAATATGACTAGTGCTTTATAAGAAGAAAACTTGGAAACAGACACAAATACAGAGGGGAGAAAATCATGTGAATACAGATACCATGACTGTAATTACAATGCCACAAGTTAAAGAAAGTCTGAAATTACCAGAAGCTGGAAAAAGCAAGGAAAGGTTCTTCCCTCTAGACTTAGTAACTCTCTTGAGTCCATAAACTACTGTTTTCAGGCACCTAATATATGGCCAGCTAACACAGTCAATTTCTACAGTGGTGACAGCAGCAGTTCTCAATCACAGCAAGTTAAGTCCAGTAGAAGATTAGCCCCATAAAGGCAGAGATTATACTAAGTTTTGTTCACACTTAAATCTTTAACATTTTACATTTAACTGGACATTAATGATTCCTGGTCGAATGCTCTAGTGCAGGGGTAGTGCAGTCCCCACTTCTATTGTAGAAATCTAACCTTCTCTGAGACAACACCATTGTGAGGGTGATAAAGGCACTTTCCTTGCTTTCCTTGTAACAATGTGAGAATGAGAAATCTGAGCTTCAGGTGAGCTGGATCTTTGGAATCTCTTCCTTATTCTAACTTGATCTACCTCATGATTAAATAATTCACTACAGAGCCGGCGCCGTGGCTCAATAGGCTAATCCTCCACCTTGCGGCGCCGGCACACCGGGTTCTAGTCCCGGTTGGGGCGCCGGATTCTGTCCCGGTTGCCCCTCTTCCAGGCCAGCTCTCTGCTATGGCCAGGGAGTGCAGTGGAGGATGGCCCAGGTGCTTGGGCCCTGCACCCCATGGGAGACCAGGATAAGTACCTGGCTCCTGGCTCCTGCCATCGGATCAGCGCGGTGCGCCGGCTGCAGCGGCGGCCATTGGAGGGTGAACCAACGGCAAAGGAAGACCTTTCTCTCTCTCTCTCTCTCACTGTCCACTCTGCCTGTCAAAAATAAAAATAAAAAAAAAAAAAATAATAATTCACTACAGATTTTTTAAATGGAGTTTTAAGTTTATTAATCTAGATATAATAGCAATTTTATGTCCCCATGATTTTGAAAAATAATAGGAATAAATTATGCTATGATTAATTTATGATTTTTATGTTTTGCTTTTATGGAAATATTTTTAGTGACTTTCCCAAGTTTATACAGCGAGGACAAGAGCAGAGTTGTAACACTGGCTTTTCCCATTACTCTTCTTGCCTCTTGGCTTCTCATCGAATTGACACTTCATTTTAGGAGAGTTCTGGGTCATTTGTACAATATTACAAAATAACACTGCAAACAGGCCTACACAAGGGTGCTGGGAAGTGTTTGTTAAGTTCTGCCCTTTGATTATTGACTCTAAATGACATCCTTATCTATTTCCAAATACTCATTCCCAACTTCTGGTAACTAAGTTATTCAACAGAGCCAGCATTCCAATGAAGGCTTTTAATAATAATTAATAAAGAAGTCTGTTGTATCTTTTTCATTTTAACGAGAGGTTTCGGGGCCAGCATTGTGCCATAGCAGATAGAAGCCACCGCCTGCAATGCTGGCAACCCATATGGGCGCCAGTTCAAGTCTCAGCTGCTCCAATTCCAATCCAGCTCCCCTGCTAATGTGCTTGGGAAAGCAGTGGAGGATAGCTCAAGTGCTTGGGCCCCAGTACACTCGTGGGTGACCTGA